ACTCATTTTGTAAAAGATTCACCACGTGATTTTGGGGGGTGAGCTTCATGAGGCCCACTTTCCTGCCCCACCAGACACTAGAGAGATGCTTGCAGAGCCCTGATGCAAGGCACAGGCACTCAGCTACGTGTTAGTTCTACCCATGGGCCTCAAATCTATTTATGAAATGAGACGAGTAATATGTTAAATGGTCAGAGGACAGAAAATACATTAAATTAGTTACAGCACAAAGCCTAGTACATAAAAGGCACTTAATATTTACTGAATGATGGACAAAGAAAAATGCCAAGTTTCAGAAAGGAAAGTACTATATAAACCCAAGTATGAATACAGAAAGAAAATGTATCTATCATTTTTTTCTTAAATGAGAAGGAATCACACTTAAAAATCAACAGTTTTGACACTAGAACATATTTAATATTAGAAAACATACTTTAGTTGTACGAAACCTGGATTGTTGAGTAAAATAAAAACTACAACTGCCCCCTGCCATTCCTGCTGTCTGAGTCATTCATTTCTATCCCAGATTTTCTTGTGGTTACTCCCTGTTATCTTTGTTTGCAGGTTTTTCTCTCCAGGATAATTCCACACTAATTAATCTTCTTAAAGCGCTGTTTTCACCACCAAAAGGCGTAGAAACATCCTTCCTTTTTCCCTCCCTGCCTTTCATTAAATAACGCTCCTTATTCAAAGCCTTTTAATGTGTCCTCACTTTACCTGTCAGTTCTTTGTTCTTAACCCCTCTAATTCAGGGGTCTTAATCTAGGGGGTATAGATCTTTCAGGCTGGATTTTAGTAAGCTGGAGAATGCCTGAACTTCTGTGTAAAATTGTGTGTCTGTGTGAATTTGTCCTGAGAGACGATCCATTTCAAGAAGCAACCCAGAAGACCTAAGATGCCGTGGATGAAGACCCTTCCCCCTCAGGCGGTCTCCCTCCTGCCCACTGCCAGGGGCTGTGCTCCTCCTGGACCTTGGGTGTCCTACCACTCGGCCCATCCTCTGGATGAAGACCTGCCTCCCCCTCTACCCTCCGTCCGGCTCCTCTGAAACCCGGCCAAGCACGGGTGCCCTACCCCATGACTGCGATGTGCTCCCCCGGATTTCCTATCCTCTAGGTAGGATCTCCCCATGCTTCTGTGCATCTCCAGCCCACAGATGAGCTTGGAAGTGAGGCAGAGGGATGGGGTGCTGGACAGCCATGTCCATCCCAGACTTACAGCCATTTCTTCCACAACTGCCTCACACTGTCTTTCCTGAGTTCTCTGAAGCAGGACCCTTGATGTCAGTTTGAAAAATAAACGTAAACAACAATGAAGAGAACGCTTCTCGTTCTCGCACCACGTGGCTGGCAGGCATTCTCCCGAATCGTCTTGGAGGATTACGATCCGTTCTGGGTGACCCTACCCGCCTGTGTACTGCCTCTCTCCATGAACCAGCTTTTGAAATCCCAGCTCTGCCCCGGCTCTTTGTGTGGACAAAGCAGCCACGGACGTGAGTTCCTCTCCTCTGACCCCTGGCACGCCAAGTGGTTAAGTGCTGAGTGTTATACTTGTATTAATGGCTGGCCAGGCAGATGTGGTGAAGTGCATACCGGATCATCAATGTATTAGCTGCCAGATGGAAAACAATGAAAGGGTGGGCAGACGGGAAGAACACACTCAAAAAGCCACCGATCTGGCTTGAACGCGGTCCCTTCAATTTGCAGAAACATTACCATTCTCATCAAAGGTCAAAGTCAGTTACTGGTGGAAAAAAATCAATAAAGTTGAGGGAGGGGGAGAGGCTGAAGGGATAAATTCATGACACGCCCTCTGCATTGAAGGGACTTGCTAGAAATCTATGTATTTCCAACTCTTGGGGATAAAACCAGTTGTCAGGAAAATGGACGATTAATGTAGTTTCAGGGGTTCCTGCTGTGAAGTGATTTTAAAGACTCATCTCAGTGCAAAATAGAGACCAAAAAAAAAGAGCAAAGGAGGGATTCAAAAACCGCACCTGCCTGTTAGACTTCATCACCCTTTTTGCTGGACTTTGAGAATCAGCTTGTTTGTGGTTTTTGTCTTTTTAATGAAAGCTACCCACGAGCATGTTCTATTTGCCTTGCCCAGGTCAATTACTGCAGACGAGCAGAAATCTTTATTACCGGCAACCCGAGGCCACCGGTTACACTGCGCTTGCGGCACACACTAGAAAAGACATTCTGACTTATCAATCTGCACGTCACGGTCTGAAGGTATGACTCATAACGTGATGGGTACTGTCTGGACTGAATATTAGATTAAAAATCTGCTCACTCCTTCAGGATGGAAGGACGGCCTGGTCGTGGAGTCCAATCTGTAGCCCACCCAGCACCGAGGAAAGGGCCATGCTCTGTGCACAGCGGGGTACCCTTCTCTGCTAAAGGCACCGTGGTGGTCTCCTGCAAACATTACATTTGCTACTTCTCAGCTGCCTACAAGTATATTTGCTCACGAATACTTGAGAGGTTGAAGGCGGCCATGGACGACTGCTAAGCAGTTAGGTATCGTGACCTCTCTCGGGGACAGAGGGGCAGAGAGAATGAACGAAGGGAGGGGACCCATGTAGGGCTTTGCGGGTTTCAATCTCTACTTCTGCTGGCTGTTGAGTCACGTGAATCTACGGTGAAAACTGAAAATTTGAATCAGATTTAATTTTTTGCTTACACTTTCTATGAAAACGTGGGCTGCTAATCAAGAACTCTGGAGCGTTTTGTATATTTTGCAATAAAATTTTCATGTAAATTTGTAAAAACTGCAAATTTCAAAAATCATCAGGTGTATTAAGTCAGAGCTGTTATGACCCTGACTTGGGGGCATTCTGAAAGCCTTGCGGATCCATGTGAAGCACTAGTGATGGTTCCTCCACAGGCATTGGTTAGTTCGGTTTGGAAGCTCCCAGGGTTGGACTCAGAGGTCCGGAAACACGTCCTCGTTCTGTCTAGATGTGAGACAAGCTGGGCACTTGCTCTCTGAAGCCCTTAGCACCTCCTAACAAGGGCCTGCCTTGTGCCAGGCTCACACCGGGCACTGTCTGTGCAGTGTTTCTTCTGACTGCAAGGCGACCTTGGAAGGAGACTTTACTGACGTCATTCCAGGGAAGGAAACACACTGGACCTGGGTGTAGAATCTATAAGTGGTGACATAAGACTGGACTCTACGAGTGGTGCCACCAGGCTTTTGCTGTGGCCGTGGGGATTGAGGGTAAGGCTCCATTTTGGCTACACCCAGAGTTTGTCCACCCCAGAGCTCTGGTGCTCAACACCACCAGTGGGGAAAAGCCAAATGTAGCTCTTTAAGTCAACATTAAAACTTCAAATTCAGTTCCTCATTCACAGGGCATACATTTTTTTTTTTTTTTTTTTGCGGTACGCGGGCCTCTCACTGTTGTGGCCTCTCCCGTTGCGGAGCACAGGCTCCGGACGCGCAGGCCCAGCGGCCATGGCTCACGGGCCCAGCCGCTCCGCGGCATGTGGGATCTTCCCGGACCGGGGCACGAACCCGTGTCCCCTGCATCGGCAGGCGGACTCTCAACCACTGCGCCACCAGGGAAGTCCCGCAGTGCATACATTTTGAGTAACAGTGGCCACGAATGACTAGCGGCTACCATACTGGATGGCACAGACAGAGAAGATCTCCACCAATGCAGGAAGTTCTACCGGCTGCTGCTGCTCTAAGTGTTGGGATTCTGGTCTCTGGCTACGACCGCCTCTTCTACCTCGTGAGTCATTCACTGAACTTGGCCTCAATCCTTTAGCGCCTTCCTTCTCCTCGTGGCGCACTGGACACCTCTGACCTACCCGCCTCCAAGCTGAGACTTTTCCATCCATGATTTCTTGTCATCCTTGATTCCCTTGCTCCTTTGACTTGCTCTTGGGCAACCCCCGGCCAACCCCTAAATGTTGGCAGGTTGCATCCTTCGGATTTCCCTGTTCCTGTTTCTGGGATATGATGCATTACCAGAAACGATGATAAAATAATAAAAGGGAGAGAACGTATTCTCTCTTCATCCCTAACTCTTCAACCCTAGCAGGTCCTCTCTGCTTCCCAGCACTTCTTTGGTTCACCTTGTATTGACTCACCAACTCATCCCTGACAATGCCTCTTCCTGAAATCCTCAGATCTCCCACGATCCTCACCCTCTACAGATGACCCGCCCCATCGCTGGTGGGGTACAAAAACCACGGTATATATATATATATATATATATACAATTGAATCACTTTGTGATTCAATAGCAGAAATTAACACAACATTGTAAGCAACTATAGTTGAATAAAATAAATTTAAAAAAGAACAAAACCACGCCATGAACTTCCCCAACACGTTCCTCTGACTTTCCTTCTGTTTCCTTTAGCCAAAGTGAGCCACCAACTGCTTTCTACCCAGGAGCACTGACTCGCTGCTTTCAGATCTTTGCTCGTGATGTCTCTCTCAATTAGATGTTTTCTCCCCGCAAGCTCACCTCTGCCACAAAGCTGTTTTTGAATCATCCCACCTCTTTCTTGTCCGAGTTTCCCTAACCTGTTATCTGTACCTTGCGCACAAGGTTTTAAGTGATACTGCATGTGCAAATGTCCTCTCCACTGACCCACACCAATGTGAGACGGGTGCTTGCTGGATTCGGCTTGCATTCCCAGCAGTGACCAGCTCAGGTCTTTATCCAGTACCTATTTATTCAAGGAATATATATATATATCAATTTTTGCAAATGTCAGATTAATTGCTAAGGCAGACAGAGTTAATTCAATAATTAACTGATGACCACATTTCTTCTAATGATCTCAACATGAAGTTCTAACCGAATGATTACATCACCAGGACCTCTGATGGGAAACCAGGGTGCATGTGCTGATGGCTAACACTGCAATCATCGGGGCTACAGCACTGTGCAACAGAGCTCCTAGGGAGGGTGGGCTGGGTGTGAAATGACAGAGCGGGCAAACAACCAGAGAAAGACATCAAAGCTGGAATCAACTTACCTTGTGTAGCAATATAATGATTGGGTCGATGATAACCCTAAAAATAAATGAGAAAGAATATTTGACAAACTGAAAAATCAATAAGCAGCACAGAAATCACATGCTAAGTTTGCCAAAATGATGCACCTACAAATACCAATAGCTGCATCGTTTGAAAGTTACATGACCAGACCTGGGACCACTGAGCACCTCTTAATAAGCCAAGGTGCATCAAATATAACAGTCCTGATGCCTGCACGGCGGGGATTGGGTGAGTAACTTAATCACACACAGGCTACGAGATGATGGATGAGCAGAAAACACTAACAACTTATGGATTTTCTGAAATAACATGACCACAACTCTGATTAAAGTGTAAGCCGGCTAGGAATGTGCAACAGGATTTCATCTGTGTTTGGGATGTTATTGGCAATGTGACAAAGCTTTAACGCATATTCTGTTACATCAATATAGGCGGTTATATCAATAGTAATACCAAACACCATTTTTAAACACTGCTAATACCAAGACATGATGCTGTAGCAAGGACCAGGAATTTAAAGAGGTAGAAGTTCTGCAAGACCCCTTCCTTTTATCATGACCCTACTAGAAGGGGGAAAGATGAAAACTGGGACCAAAGCAAGAAGGAAACAAGGGACATCACGAGATCGATATCTGGGAAAGATAAAGCCAATTTAGAGAAAATGACACACAGGTAACATATAATATCACCACGGACCTTAATACTTCCCCTTTCTGTCCCCTGAGATGACCCAAAATACTATGCCCAAAGCCAGCTGAAAAAGAGAATAAAGATACTTGGAGAGGAAATACCAATTTCTCAGACCACTTAGATGCATATCTGTTAGATCTTTTTGCTCTTAAAAGCAAGTCTACAAGAGTGGACAACCAAAGCAAACACATTCTTTCGTACAGCTGGCCTGCTGCAGGTGTCTGACATAGAGTCATGACAGATATTAAGGAGGGTTATTCAGATGGTCAGTCATTTCCTGCCAGCTGGTAAGCTCCACGCAGCAAGACCTGGTTGGACTCATCACCGTATGTGTCAGTCTGCAAGGTGCTGGGAGATGGGGGCTGGCACGGTCCATGGAGGCCTCTGATGCCGAGCACAATGGCAGTTCCCAGGCCTCCCCTACTTGAGCTGCCAGCAGCATGAACACAACTGAACCCCCGAAATGCCTTCTTCGTTGGCCTCCGGATGTGACGCTCTGGCTTTCTCCCTGCCTGGCCGCAGTTCCCGCTCTTCATTCCTTCATCCCCTCCTGCTTTCCCTGGTGGCGATGCTGGGACGCCCTGTGTCTGCACTCTCCTCTGTCTACCCCACTCCCCTGACGAGCTCCTCCAGCCTCATGGCCATCGGCACCCGGTGTCCTGGGAGCCCTGCATCCTCACCTCCTGCCGCGCCTCTGCCCTGAAACCCTGGGGCGAACCAGTGCCGACTCACCTCCCCTCAGACGTCTGACGCACATTTAAAGTTGAACGCATATAAACCCAGCTCCTCATTTCCTCCCCACTCCGAGTCTGCTCCACCACAGTCCTGTGCAGATAACAGTGACCCCACCTCCTGAAGGCATGAGGGCCCCTCCTTCCCCAGCCTCCACCTCAGCCCAGACCCAGGATCCTCCCGCCTCCCTCCCTCTGGCCGCCTGCCCCGGGCCAGGCCACCCTCAGCCACCTAGCGGGCCTCCTCACTTTGACCCCCACCCCGCCGACCTACAGTTCGTCCTCCTCCCGGCTTCCAGATCCCTCACTCCTCCACAGCTGCCGGGCATGCTCCACAGCCAGGCCTTTTCCTGGGCTGCCTCTCGGCCTGGAGGCTCAGCCCCCAGATATCCCCCCGGCCCAGACCCCCACTTTCTCGGTGGAGTTGACACTCCACCGCCACTGTGTTTCTCCTACCGTCTACGACACCAGAGAGACTTAACCGACTTGTTTCATTTGTGGTCTCTTCCTCCTGGTTAGATCATCAGGTCCATTATGTCAGAGCTTTCTTTTTGGTTTTGGTTTGAATTGTGCACAGTTACAACACCAGTGCCTCAAACAGTTACTGACCTGTAATAGGTGCTCAATAAAATCTCATTGACTAAGTGAAAAGGGGCCCTGAATTCTGACTCTTTTCTCTGTTAAAACGAGAACAAATGAATCTGGTATTTTCATTACTTTTAGGTCCTCCCTCCTCTGTGTCTCTACCCAGCCATTCTTTAGAGCTTAGTTCAAATGGCCTCCAGGACGAAGCCTGATCTGGTCAGAGCCACTCCTCAGAGGGTGGTTCAGCAGACGCTGAGGACTTAACAGCATCTGAGGCCTGTGTCAGGGGCAGGGGTACAGCAGGACCCGGACGCTGTCCCTCTGCTCAAGGACCCAGAGGGCTGTGGGAGCTGGGACTGCGGTGTGAACAGGGTTCTCCTGGACTCTCCCCAGGGAACAAGTGTCAGAGTGAAGACGTTTCTTACTTCAGCTCCTAAGTTGTGAGGCCTCAGGGAGAAGGTACAAGGTCTTGGGTACCTCTGAGTACTCCTGTGAGGCACTCCCTAAATAGTTCCCACATAAAGTAATAAGTGTAATGTGCGTTTGGAGGAAACTTTGCTTTAATAAAAACTTCTACCTTGCATTGGATATGTTTTTGGTCATTATCAAATGTAGGGTCTAGGGGTCTTTGTTTGAAGACTGAGATACGAGTTAGTCTTCAAATAATCCTCCGTCAGGCCTCAAATCTATAACCCCCAAATGCCAAACCCTCCCAAGAAGCACTACACATAACATTCTTGTAGTCATTTTTAGATAACTCTTAGAGATTGTAATGCTAGTATTTTTAGTAATACTCAACCAAGACAAGAAAGGAATCCAGATATCTGAATAAAACTTGTGCAAGGAAGTACTGATGGATTAAGAAACAGTATGAAGTCCAAGCACAGAGGATGCCTTGGGAACTGAGATCTGTTTAATGTAAACTTGGGCCTTGGAGGTAACAGCAACTTTCCCTTGATTTTCAGTCTACACTTTTGATTTCATTCATTCTTTCAAGTGAAAACATGCTGTCTCCCAGAGAATTTATTCTAATGGAAGACATTAAGTTAACATGATGCAGAATGAACAAAGGAGCAGGCTTCAATAATTAAGCAGCCTACATATTTAATGACACGTCTTGCATGCATCAGAGGTCCCGGCTAACAGCTGCAGATGACTTTGAAGGCAACTTGAAAGTGCTGTGATGACAAGAGATGGTAAATCACCAAATTAGGAATTAGAGAGTTTTGTCCTATTAATATGCAAGCAGACTTTTTTAAGTGTCAAATAATCCAAGCTGTTGACAAAAAAATGGAAATACCATTTTCTTAAGTCCACAGAAGCGTGGGATGGCAAAGGAGGCAGGGAACGTCACGGGGAGCTCACCAGCCCGAGGCTGACATGTCTCCACCATCAAGTTCTGCGTGTATGGGACAGGGCATGTGTTTGCTCCCAGGGTTGGACCAGCCTGTGTCCACGCATCTCAGAGCAGACACACGGGGTGCTATGTGTCAGAACACACGGGTTTACTGACAGTTTCAAGATACATACATCGATATAATTTCCATTGATATAGTCTGAGCTGTTGTCGCCTTCTATGGTCTGCAGCCTCACCCGGGAATGGTCATCTGCAAAGGGAAAACACCAGCAATTAACAAGAGCTGTCTGTCAGGCTGCTCAGGGCCCCGCCACGTTAAGCACATTACAGAGAGGTATTCCACATCCACGCTGCTTTAAAGATAAGCGAAGAATTAAATACTACACGCCTACATTCTTGCTCTTAAGACAGGGAAGGGTTTTTTATAATCCTTTGCGTTTTACAGGAAATCTCACTAACTTCTTCTTTGGTCATTTACAGATGTGAAGCATTGGCAGAGGTTTGAAACTTTTACCTAGAGTCCTGTGAATCACAGTGGAATGATTTCTTGATTTCTTGGACTGGAGGTTCAACAACTTCACTAAATCACATGTGAGCCCTGAGACTCTGAAGGTTGCCTGCGACATCCACCTTGACAAATGATGGTTATAAACCACGGCCCAGCCTCCCAGGAGATGTGGACATGGTTCTAACCTCAGTCATTGACCCAGAGTTCTCTCCCCCTGCCCCGAGGGCATCGGCCGGTGGAGCAAGTCTGTCCCCATCAGCCACGTGACCCCAGGCCACTCAGCTACACCACCAAGCCTCGGCCACTCACCTGAAGGAGGGATGACAGCGCCTGCCTCACATTGGGCTGTTTAAATAATTAAACAAAAACACAGACTGCTGACACACACCAAGTACTGTATAGGGGTCATGATGGTGGTCCAACTAGCCACAGTAAACATTTTTTCTGAATGGAAAATTTTCTCCATAAATGCTACTGAGACATCTCAATAATTTCCTTGAAATCTAAATTATAAAAAGGAAAGTGCTAAAACCTCTATAAGGGCATGGATTTTCCTGTTTTGCTCACTGTCCTACCCCTGACCCCTATATCAGAGTCTGGAACATCGCAGAATTTCCCCCAAATATCTTTTAAATGAGTCAAAAGTGAACTTTTTGGTTTTTTTTAAAAAATACGTCCTTTAAAAATTGTTTTCCTAAATGAATGTTCTTTGAAGCAGAGGAGCCCTTTCTTCCAATGAAAGCTTACACCCAAACCCAATATTTGGCAGATAAAGGCCAGCTGCTCTGAGGGGGAAGGAGTGTGGTCTCTGAGAGGTGGTCTGGGGAGAGCACTTTGCAAACCACTCTTCCCCTGACCGGCAGTGGGAGCTCCTGCCTCTAAACTGCCGACATTTCATTTGGGTTAGTGGGTGAGAAATGACACCCCCAGACTGAGGCAAGAGACAGGGAGCCTGCAGGTGACAGACCGTCTGACCCAAGGTCACTGGACGAACTGTCGATTTGAACCCGTTCCTTGGCTTGACGTGCTGAGTGAGAGCCAGCGTTTCAGCTGATCCCTCTGGTTCAGCCCTCCTTGGAGGAATGTTCTGTGTCCAACAGTGGGGCTAGAGGGAGATCCGTGTCGAGCTTCTAACTCTCCTTCATTGATGGGGCTTCTCACTCCAGTTCCAGACAGACGGTCATATCGTTTCCTGTCTGTGCCTTACGATTAGCCTGGGCTCAGTACATTTACCCGGAGAGTGGGGATAAAGTGGGTGGGACACGGGCGAAGCCTGGAGGGAGCCGTGTCTCCCTGCTCTGCTCAGGGAGAACATGTGCGGGCAGTGGTCCCGCGTGTGGGCTCTGGGGTCAGGGGTGCCGGTTGGAACCCCTCACTTGTGATTTCGGGCGAGCTGCTTCGTCTCTCTGGGCTTTCCTTTCCTGAGCTGCAAAACGGGGATTCACAGTGCCTCCCCATGGGGTTACGGTGAGCGTGAACATAACACACAGGAAGAGATGAGCAGAGAGCCCGGTGTACAGCGAGTCATGGATAATGCCAGCTGTTGTTATCACCACGTGCTGGGTGACACACACTCGTGCTTTGCTTCTCACCATCTTTACACTGGCTGCCCAAACCGACAAGAGCAACCCGGGACCCACGGGCAGGCAGGAATTTTCCCCGTGGTGACCTGCTCCAAGAACTAGTTTCCTAGAATCCATTTTGCCTAACACCAGAGGCCCCTGTCCAGAGATTGCCCGTGTCATGGGGGGTGGGTTCTTGGGGCGCTGGGATGTGTGGATTGTCACTGCTTTCGCACGTGCTGGCAGAGCCAGTGCACACACGGCTACTGCAGAGGGAGCTCGAAGTGGCTCTGCGGGTAAAGCCATTTGAGCTTCCCGAATGAAAGATGCTACAACAGAATCGAACCCCGGCTCTTCTGCACACACTGGGCTTCCAGTCGGCTCCTCTGAAGGAGGTTAGGTTCACTCCCTGTTCTCCCTGACTTTCCCTGGGCTGTGCTTTAAAAGGCAGGCACCACATTCGAGCCTCCTAATCTTTAGACGCAAGGCTATCTCAGGATCTGTTGTGCTCCTTGTCAGAATCCCTCCTCTTTCATGCTTTACATCCCTGAGAACCTCAGGATGAATGCCACCAGGTCCCCGTGATCTACCACCACTGGGCCTCTCAAGTGGTTCTGGAATGTTCTCATTAGGGACTTTGATCTCAGACAAGGCTGCACTCTCATCTCCCATCAACAGAGCCTTTGAAATAAAGAATTTCCCCAACATCTACTATTCAATCAGCTAACCCCCCACAGAGCTGTTTTTTCTTTTTAACTTCACTGCTATTTCTCCATTTCTTTTTTAAGAGCAACAAATGTCAAAGATTTTTATTTAGTTAATGAAGGAAGCAGGAAGATGTTACAACTGGTTCAAGGAGAATTTACCAGCAGATCTATAACCAGATCTAGTTATCTAGATAGATAAATAGATATAGGTAGATGAATCTATGCAGGTATATAGATATAGATAGATAAGTAGATAATCTAAATCAGGATATGCCATGGAATGAATTTACGAAGAAATGGAAAACTGGCTCTTACTGGAACTACTGACCCCCTAAGGACACAACTCATTTACATATTATTTCTCCAAATTTAATTGCTCCACTTCTCGCATGACACAGAAACCTGTAAGACACATATGAAGCCTATTTCCTATGTAGACTGGATTGTTTTTATTTCTCTTTATTTGTATGCTCTTTCTGTATTTTAAAGCTGATTCTACAAGACTATGTATGACCCCTTGTGGTCAGAGACCACGTAGTGTCCACTCCGAACATCCCCACAAGGGTCCTTCATGAGGGTCACAGCGCCCACCCGCAGGGCTCCTCTCACAGCCCAGCAGCGATTCTGCCCAACACATGGCTATGGGCACCAAGGATGACCTCTTCCCTAGGCTAATGAATATGGCAGAAGAAGGGCAAGTTGTGTTCAGGCGAGGCTCACCGGGGCTTCCCTGGGTGCTGGCCATGGTCCTGTTGTGGACTTGGTTAGTGCTTTTACGAGTGTTTGCTTTACAACAATGTATTAACCCATATATGGATGTATTATACCCTTTTCTGTACCTATATTTCACACTTTAAAAATATAAGAGTCCACCTTGAGGATAATACGCTCAGCGAAATAAGCCAGACACAAAAGGGCAAATACTGTATGATCCCACTTATATGAAGCATCTGGAGTGGTCAAATCCGTGGAAGCAGCAAGTGGGGTAGTGGTTGGCAAGCGCTGGGATGGTGGGGAAGAGTGAGCTCTTGTTTCACGGGTGCCGAAGAAACCTAATGTCACTGAACGGTACACTTAAGAATGGTTAAGATGCTAAGTTCTATGTTGTGTGTGTGTTACCAAAGTTAAAAAAAACGAAGAGCCCACTTTCTCCACGCCTCCTTGTAGGACACCTCCTCACATTCCACTCGAGCCCCGGGCTCCTAGGAAGCAGTACTTTCAAGGTGGGAAGGGCACCTCGAGGACCTGCTGTCTCATAGCCCGTGGGGTCCCTTGTGCTGGTCTCCTCCTGAGAGGGGCTCGTTCCCTTCCACGATGAAGGAGAGGCAGTGACTGTATGGCCTGCTCCTTGAGGACAACTGCCATACTTTATAAAGTGTGCTGAGTAGGTATGTTTGGGAATTACTGAGATGAGGCCTACGAGGTGTTCTTTCTTTCTGTGACGACGTAAGTGTGGGCACTGATGAGTTAGCGTCAGTTGAGACAGGCAGGCAGATATTTCAGCAGGGAGAGTGGGCTCCCCCTCGGGTAGGAAGGAGAACACGGGGGCAGGAGCTGAGCCCACAGAGAGAAGAGTATGGAGTTTCCTTAAAGATCTAAAAATTAGAGCTACAGAGGATATGGCAATTCCACTTGTGGGCGTATATCTTGGGAAAACCATCCATCGACAAGACACATGCACCCCAACGTTTAGTGCTGCCCTGTTTCCAAGGGCCTAGACTTGGAAGCAACCTAAATGTCCTTGGGAGGAAAATGGATAAAGAAGATGTGGTACATATGTACAGTGGAATATTACTCAGCCATGAAATGAGGGGGGCTGGTCCTCGCACAACTGCCCTTCTTGGGTGGGATGTTAGCACTTATCAGGTTAATCCTCTGCCTCCCAGCGGGCTGTTGGGAAAACCATCCGTCCTAAACAGCAGTGAAATTAATAGGAAAGTATCACCCGCCTCCACGCTGAGCCAGTGAAAGTAAAAGCAAAAGAAGTAAGAGAATCCGCCCCTCCAGCCACAACAGTCTACTCCAAGCTGCTGCTCGGGTACCTGAGAATGACTTGGCAACAGAAACTGGATTCTCAGACATCCTCTTTCACATCAAGCCCTTATCTCAGGTGACTATAAAAGCAATAAATATAGATTGTTGGAGGCAAATAAAGCAGTACATGGAGGCTCACTGCTGTATTTTCTTGAAATCTGATTCACCTTGAATCTGATGCCAATTAAGAAGACTAATATGTACCAACCATTCTTTTAGAAAAGCTCAGTGCCTTCTGTTGGGGCTGAATAGTATCAAATGACTATAGGGAGATGCCCAGAGGATGTTTCTGGCCTGAAGCACATATGGGGTCACTCAGGCAAAGGATCCACAGAAACGCCAGCTGCCCACTGGCTTAATCCCGTCCTCCCAGTTGGCTTTGGAGGCCGACCAGCTGGAAGTCGGCCAGAGTCCAGCAACTGGGTCAAAAGGAGGAAGG